TCATCCAGTGACGTCATTTCCTGACTTCGCCCTTACTGGTACATACCGGTACCCACCGGTATAGCGAAGCTTGGTCTTCCACTTGCTTCAACACTTGACGCAGCTTGACGAGGTGTCTTCTTCACAGCCGCTGTCTTTTCAACACTCCCTCTCGACTCGTTAGCTGCGGCACCTTGGATCCCAAGTCGATCGCGAATGTTTTCAAATTGTACAGCGGCGATCGGCTTGGTCATCATGTCTGCCAGCATATCTTGAGTCGGGCAATACTCCAAAACGACTTCACCTGATTCCACCTTCTCACGCACAAAATGGTAGCGTATGTCGATGTGCTTTGTTCTCTTATGGAACTCCGGGTTCTTGGCGAGAGCGATTGATCCTTGGTTGTCTTCATACATCTTGATCGCTTCGTCGCTTGTCATCTCACCAAGTTCCCCCAAAAGCACCTTGAGCCATACTGCTTCTTTGGTTGCTTCGGAAAGCGCCATGTATTCTGCTTCTGTTGAAGATAGCGCGACCGTCCGTTGTTTCTGGCTTTTCCAGCTGATGCATCCTCCGCTCATCATGAACACATAGCCGCTTGTACTTCGTCTTGACTCAATGTCGCCGGCCCAGTCTGCGTCGGTGTACCCGCAGATACGGCTTCCTTCTTCACGTGTAAACTCAAGACCATGATTGGGCGTTGCTTGCAGGTATCTCAGCACACGCTTCAAAGCTTGCCAGTGAGTCGGGCATGGGTCGGACGAGAACTGGGATAATGATCCCACTGCAGCAGCTAGATCCGGACGTGTGGCGACCATGAGATACATGATGCCTCCGACAGCACTTCGATATGGCACGTTGCACATGGTGTCTTCGTGCTTGCATTCTTGTTCACACATGTTCTTGGTTAGCTTCAGGCCGGGATCTTGAGGCGTCTTCACTGGCTTGCTGTTATCCATTCCGAACTTGGTTAACACGGACTTGAGAAACTTGGTTTGTTGCACAGTCACCATTCCCGTCTTACGGTCGTTCTTGATCTCCATGCCGAGAAAGTAATCGAGGCTCACCGAGATCCGTCATTTCGAAGCGTTTGCTCAGCGCCATCTTGGTCGACTTGAGGGAGTTCGTTGTTGCTGCTGGCCAGGATGAGATCATCGACGTAGAGCACCACGAGAATCATGTCTTGGTCGTCTCGCTTGATGTAGATGCAGTGGTCCGATTCGCACTTCTTGAATCCCATCTTGATCATGAACCCATCGATTGTTTGGTTCCACATGCGAGGCGATTGCTTCAAGCCGTAGAGTGATCTCTTTAGCTTGCACACATAGTCCGGCTGTGTTGCATCCAGGTATCCGTCCGGCTGGTCCATGTAGATGTCTTCGTTGAGGGAGCCGTTAAGAAACGCTGTCTTGACGTCCATCTGATGTAGCATTAGGCCGTACTTGGCCGCCATACTGAGCACCACACGAATCGATGTGAACTTGGCCACCGGTGCGAAAGTTTCTTCATAGTCAACTCCGAATTTCTGTGAGAATCCTTTGGCCACAAGTCTTGCCTTGAAACGTTCAACTTCGCCATCTTGATTCTCCTTTACACGAAAAACCCATCGGCACCCGATGGCCTTGCGACCTTTCGGAAGAGGCACGATTTCCCACGTGTCGTTTCTCTGAAGCGAATCGAACTCCGAGTCACACGCTTCTTTCCACTTGCCGGAGTCGCTTGATTCCATCGCCGACTTGAATGTAGTCGGCGTTTCCCCACTGAATCAACGATGTAGGCTGCTTCAAAATCCATTGCAGCCGCTGAAACATGCTCAAGCGACGGACCTCTGTATGTTCTTCGCTTGGGACTTGGAATGACGGTAGCTTTCTCAAGTGATTGAGTGCGCGTGTGTCTCTTGATGTTGCTCTTCGAAGACCTGGTGTCTTCGTTGTCATCGTCGCTCGAGTCCATGTCGTCGTCAGTTTTACCTTCTTCTTCTTTTTGTTCGTCCTCATCATGATCATCAAACTCAACGACACTTGACTCATCGTTGTAGTTGCGCGGACCTTCATCAAACTTGTCTTCCATGAATGTGGCATCGCGACTGATCTTGATCGCTCCTGTTGACACTTCCTCAAATCGATATGACTTCTGGTGTTCGGCGTATCCCAGGAAACGACAGAGTGATGACTTGGAGTCGAACTTCGCGCGTTTGTCTTGAGGCACTTGAACATACGCGTGGCATCCAAACACTTTAAGGTTGGCCAGAATCGGTTTCTTCATCGTCCACACTTGATATGGAGACTTGTCTTGGTGAATGGCACGTGTTGGACAGCGGTTTCGAAGAAACATCGCCGTCATCACTGCTTCACCCCAGTAGCTCTTTCCCAGTCCAGCGTGTTCCATCATGCAACGCGCACACTCGACCAGCGTGCGATTCATTCTCTCAGCTACTCCGTTTAGCTGAGGAGTATATGGGGGTGTGAACCTTTGTTGTATTCCCCGTTCCGCGCAGAATCGTGCCAGCTTGTCGGACTTGTATTCACCCCCATTGTCGCTTTGAAGGTACTTCACGCGCTTTCCGGTTTGCGTTTCGGCCATCGCAGCGTATTCCATGAACTTCGCCGCAACTTCAGATTTGCTCTTGAGCAGATAGACGACACAGTATCTTGACTTGTCATCAATGAATGTCACGAAGTACCGTTTTCCACTGAAAGTTGCCATCGACATCGGTCCGCATACGTCGCTGTGAATCACTTCGAGGAGTTTGGAGGTGCGAGCTGTAGTGTTTGATTGGAAGCGCACTCGAGTCTGTTTTCCCAGAGCACAACCTTCACACACGTCCCACTTCTTCACCGAAGATATGTCGATGCCAATTCAATGTTCTTCGTCACGATGCAATTGAGTCCATCGTGACCTATGTGGCCAAGCCGAAGGTGCCAGAGGTACGACTTGGTGCCCCCTTGACATCCCGACGACTTGGCTGCATTTGCTTGTTCCGGCGCCACTGGAGTCATTTGCAGCTTGAACAGTCCTTTACCTTCACGGGCACCAATTTTCCACTTGGTCCCTTTCGCTTCTCCATAGCACCCATCCTTCGTGAACGTCACTGGGCCGACATCCTTGGTGAAGCGGCCGACCGAGAACAGGTTTCTGGATAACTTTGGGATGTGCCACACGTTTGTGAGCACACCTTTCTTCATCCCTTGGGGTGTCTTCATCGACATGACAATGTCCCCACTGCCGATTGCTTGGACGATTCCATCATCCGCGAGATGGACATCCACAGCGTCAAACCCCTTGTAGTTCCGCATGAACTTCTTGGAGCACGTCATGTGCTGCGTCGCCCCGGAGTCGACCAGCCAGATGTCGCTCGATTTCGCAGATGTCGTTTCACCGATCGAAAGAGGTAGTCGCCCGAGTCTTCTTCTTGAGCGACGTTTGCACGTTGTGATCGATAGCGGTCGCCGCTGTCTTGAGCACGCTGTGGCCGGTGTCTCTCCGTGTTTTCTTGGATGCGCGAGGGGCACTCCGCCATCCAGTGACCAATCTTTCCGCAATTGTGGCACGGCCAGGACTTCTTCACTGGTCGCCCTTTGCGCTGATTGTCCCCTTGTGATGAACGCTTGACCTTGCGAAGCTTCATCACCTTTACTTCCTTGCTCCTTCCGCTTCATTTCTTCATGAAGCAGTCGAGACGTCACGAGCTCCCAGCTAAGAGTGTCTGAGCGCGACTCCAAAGCTGTGATCAAGAATTGATACGAGTCACTCAGGCTGCCGAGGAGTGTGATCACCAGATCGTCCTCGCAGACTGGAGCCCCCACCGCTTCTAGCTGTTCCGCCAGCGTCTTGAGCTTGTTGATGTGTTCGAGCACATCGTCGCCTTCTTCCATCATTGTCGTGAAGAAGCGACGGCGCAAGAACAGCTTGTTGGCAAGACTCTTCTTCTCGAAGTGGTCTTCCAACCTTGACCATGCGTCGCATGCACCACTTGCCGACCGGACCAACGGTAGCTGGGAATCTTCCATGGCTAGACAGATCACTGCCATCGCCTTTCTTGACTTCCTCTTGTACGTCGCTTGGTCCAACTGAGTCTCGCACTGTTCCGCCTTGATCTCACCGCTGACGACCTCCCATAGGTCCCGTTCCTCCAGCACCATCTGCATCTTGAACTTCCAGGCGTGGAAGTTAGTTCCATCGAACTTGGAGATGCGGAGGGAGGAGGCGTCCATGGCAGCTAAGCTTGAATTGTTGGCGGTTTCAGAGTCTGACGAACTTGGGCTCATAACCTGATGAACTTTAGACTTCTTGGTCCGAGTGCAAAACGCAAAGTGAATATATATTTATAATAGGTACTTAGTTCGCAACTTTGAATACTACCTCTAAGCCTATTATTCGCAGTGACGTCATCCAGTGACGTCACCCACTGACGTCATGCAATGACGTCATCCAGTGACGTCATTTCCTGACTTCGCCCTTACTGGTACATACCGGTACCCACCGGTATAGCGAAGCTTGGTCTTCCACTTGCTTCAACACTTGACGCAGCTTGACGAGGTGTCTTCTTCACAGCCGCTGTCTTTTCAACAGTTTCACCGATCGAAAAGAGGTAGTCGCCCGAGTCTTCTTCTTGAGCGACGTTTGCACGTTGTGATCGATAGCGGTCGCCGCTGTCTTGAGCACGCTGTGGCCGGTGTCTCTCCGTGTTTTTTTGGATGCGCGAGGGGCACTCCGCCATCCAGTGACCAATCTTTCCGCAATTGTGGCACGGCCAGGACTTCTTCACTGGTCGCCCTTTGCGCTGATTGTCCCTTGTGATGAACGCTTGACCTTGCGAAGCTTCATCACCTTTACTTCCTTGCTCCTTCCGCTTCATTTCTTCATGAAGCAGTCGAGACGTCACGAGCTCCCAGCTAAGAGTGTCTGAGCGCGACTCCAAAGCTGTGATCAAGAATTGATACGAGTCACTCAGGCTGCCGAGGAGTGTGATCACCAGATCGTCCTCGCAGACTGGAGCCCCCACCGCTTCTAGCTGTTCCGCCAGCGTCTTGAGCTTGTTGATGTGTTCGAGCACATCGTCGCCTTCTTCCATCATTGTCGTGAAGAAGCGACGGCGCAAGAACAGCTTGTTGGCAAGACTCTTCTTCTCGAAGTGGTCTTCCAACCTTGACCATGCGTCGCATGCACCACTTGCCGACCGGACCAACGGTAGCTGGGAATCTTCCATGGCTAGACAGATCACTGCCATCGCCTTTCTTGACTTCCTCTTGTACGTCGCTTGGTCCAACTGAGTCTCGCACTGTTCCGCCTTGATCTCACCGCTGACGACCTCCCATAGGTCCCGTTCCTCCAGCACCATCTGCATCTTGAACTTCCAGGCGTGGAAGTTAGTTCCATCGAACTTGGAGATGCGGAGGGAGGAGGCGTCCATGGCAGCTAAGCTTGAATTGTTGGCGGTTTCAGAGTCTGACGAACTTGGGCTCATAACCTGATGAACTTTAGACTTCTTGGTCCGAGTGCAAAACGCAAAGTAAATATATATTTATAATAGGTACTTAGTTCGCAACTTTGAATACTACCTCTAAGCCTATTATTCGCAGTGACATCATCCAGTGACGTCACCCACTGACGTCACCCACTGACGTCATGCAATGACGTCATCCAGTGACGTCATTTCCTGACTTCGCCCTTACTGGTACATACCGGTACCCACCGGTATAGCGAAGCTTGGTCTTCCACTTGCTTCAACACTTGACGCAGCTTGACGAGGTGTCTTCTTCACAGCTGCTGTCTTTTCAACAAAGTCAACCAAGATGGCGCTGAGCAAACGCTTCGAAATGACGGATCTCGGTGAGCTCGATTACTTTCTCGGCATGGAGATCAAGAACGACCGTAAGACGGGAATGGTGACTGTACAACAAACCAAGTTTCTCAAGTCCGTGTTAACCAAGTTCGGAATGGATAACAGCAAGCCAGTGAAGACGCCTCAAGATCCCGGCCTGAAGCTAACCAAGAACATGTGTGAACAAGAATGCAAGCACGAAGACACCATGTGCAACGTGCCATATCGAAGTGCTGTCGGAGGCATCATGTATCTCATGGTCGCCACACGTCCGGATCTAGCTGCTGCAGTGGGATCATTATCCCAGTTCTCGTCCGACCCATGCCCGACTCACTGGCAAGCTTTGAAGCGTGTGCTGAGATACCTGCAAGCAACGCCCAATCATGGTCTTGAGTTTACACGTGAAGAAGGAAGCCGTATCTGCGGGTACACCGACGCAGACTGGGCCGGCGACATTGAGTCAAGACGAAGTACAAGCGGCTATGTGTTCATGATGAGCGGAGGATGCATCAGCTGGAAAAGCCAGAAACAACGGACGGTCGCGCTATCTTCAACAGAAGCAGAATACATGGCGCTTTCCGAAGCAACCAAAGAAGCAGTATGGCTCAAAGTGCTTTTGGGGGAACTTGGTGAGATGACAAGCGACGAAGCGATCAAGATGTATGAAGACAACCAAGGATCAATCGCTCTCGCCAAGAACCCGGAGTTCCATAAGAGAACAAAACACATCGACATACGCTACCATTTTGTGCGTGAGAAGGTGGAATCAGGTGAAGTCGTTTTGGAGTATTGCCCGACTCAAGATATGCTGGCAGACATGATGACCAAGCCGATCGCCGCTGTACAATTTGAAAACATTCGCGATCGACTTGGGATCCAAGGTGTTGCATTGTAGACCGGAGCGAGGAAAGCGGAGCGAACGGAGCGGAGAGACCGAAGAGAGTAGAGCAGAAAACACTTGCCCAATAGTTGGAAGATTCGAAAGTGATTGATTATCGGGACTTACTACTTACTACATGATTTATATGTGGTGTACATATAAATCATGTGAAGCGTCTCATCATCCTACGCGTCTAATCAACTATGGTAATTACCGTAAGAACTACGTCGTAAATACTAAGCTGAACAGGCGGTTCCGGATTGGATCGGTCACGGTTACCAATACTGGTAGAAAACCGATGACCGTCAACACGCCCCCTCAATCCGAATGCTCACGAATCCCGAGAGTCGCCGTCATCTCCTTGTGGCGTGGCCCGTGAAGTCCCTTCGTCATGATGTCCGCTAACATCACCGCAGTTTCACAGTACTTGAGCTTCACTTCACCGCGCTTGACCTCTGTTGCATTGTAGATCGGAGCGAGGAAAGCGGAGCGAACGGAGCGGAGAGTTTGAAGAGAGTAGAGCAGAAAACACTTGCCCAATAGTTGGAAGATTCGAAAGTGATTGATTATCGGGACTTACTACTTACTACATGATTTATATGTGGTGTACATATAAATCATGTGAAGCGTCTCATCATCCTACGCGTCTAATCAACTATGGTAATTACCGTAAGAACTACGTCGTAAATACTAAGCTGAACAGGCGGTTCGGATTGGATCGGTCACGGTTACCAATACTGGTAGAAAACCGATGACCGTCAACACGCCCCCTCAATCCGAATGCTCACGAATCCCGAGAGCCGTCGTCATCTCCTTGTGGCGTGGCCCGTGAAGTCCCTTCGTCATGATGTCCGCTAACATCACCGCAGTTTCACAGTACTTGAGCTTCACTTCACCGCGCTTGACCTCATCACGGATGTGATGGTACTTGATATCAATGTGCTTGGCACGGCCGTGGTTGACTGGGTTCTTCGTCATCTTGATACATGACTGATTGTCTTCATGAATCATGAGTTCCGGTCCTTCTTCGTTGGCAGCCATCACGATCTCACAAAGCAGACGATGAATCCACTTGCCCTCTTGAATCGCCAAGCTGAGTGCGATGTATTCGGCTTCACTCGTGGACAACGAAACACTTGGCTGCTTCTTGCTGCCCCAACTGACTGGCGCACCGAGTAGCATGAACGTGTACCCCGATGTTGACTTGCGGTCGGTAAGATCACCAGCCCAATCCGCATCCGAATATCCACGGAAGTCGATCCTTGCACTTGGCTTGTAGCAAATTCCATGCGTCTTGGTGCCTTGTAGGTAGCGAAAGATACGCTTAACTGCAACCCAGTGTTCTTCTTGGGGATTTTCCATGAACCGCGACACATAGCCCACAGCAAACGCAATGTCCGGACGCGTTGCAGTGGTCAGGTGCATCAACGCACCAACAGCTTCGCGAAAAGGAGCATCGACCTTGGTAGTTGCATCACTTGAAACAAGTCGAGAGCTCATGTCGACTGGACTTGCGACTGCCTTGCAATCATCCATGCCAAAGCGCTTGAGGATATCATCGACATACCGACGCTGACATAGTGTCACACTGCCATCTTCACCGTCAAAAGCTCGATCCCAAGAACAAACGCACACTTGCCGCTGTCCGTCATTTCGAACCGCGTCTTCAGGTCGTTCTTGGTTTGTGCAATCAGCTCGAGCGAGCTTCCAGTCACCAAGACGTCGTCCACGTAGACCAGTATAAACACGCAATGGCCGTCCGAAGTCTTGATGTAGAGACATGGGTCGAAGTCCGATACTTGAAATCCGATGGAGCACACATACTCGTCGAACGTCTCGTTCCATACTCGCAAAGCTTGCTTCAGGCCGTAAATTGCCTTCACCAATTCCAGGCAGTCGAACGTACTGTCAAGTTCGACGCCTTCAGGAATCACGCAGAACACTTGTTCCTTCATGACGCCATACAGGAAAGCTGTCACCACATCAAGCTGGTCGATGGGCCATCCAAAATGCTTGGAAATTGCGATCACCATTCGCAGCGTCACATGCTTGACCACGGGAGAAAACGTCTCCGTGTAGTCGATTCCATACTTCGAGCGAAAGCCCTTTGCCGCGAGACGTGCCTTGTACTTCTCGATAGATCCATCCGCCTTGCGCTTGATCTTGAACACCCATTTTGTGCCAATGGCGCGTTGTCCGTTGGGCAGCTTGGCTGCACGAAACACACCGCGAAGTCGCATTGACTCGAGCTCTGCATGAATTGCTTTTCTCCAGTGCACTTGGTCAGGGCCGCTTACTGCTGCTTCAAATGTTGAGGGCTCTGATAAGTCCACTGCTGCTTCAACGGCATTTGCACTCGCACGCCAAAACACAGGCGGTGTTGAATCACCAGAATCCTTCGTTTCTTCGTCTTCTTCTTGGCGTGACGAGTTGTTTTCCGGCGCGCTTGACTCTTCTAGTCCTGGTCGTTGACGCACTGCACGCGGTCGTGGAGCTGCTGTATCTTCATCATTGAGTCGGTTCTTGCGCTTGCCTGTTTGCTTGTACTCCATTTGACGCAGCTCTTCGTCATCAAGATCCAGCAATTCGAAGTCCAGGTCATCGACATCTTCATCAGTGATCGGCAGTTGAAGTCCAAAGGTGGACTCGTCGAAGTTGACATCGCGGCTGATAACCACCTGCCCCGCCTCGATGTCATAAACACGATATGCCTTCGAAACTTCTTCGTAGCCCACGAATATGCCAGCGCGAGCCTTTGGATCCCACTTGAGTCGATTCTCTTTAGGCGTCAGTATGTATGTCTGACACCCGAATGTTCGCATGTGCTTGACGCTTGGTTTCAAGTTGTAGACGATCTCAAACGGGGTCTTGTGCACGACTTTAGGTGACGGCAGTCGATTCTTGACGTAGATGGCCGTCATCGCTGCTTCGGCCCAGAAACACTTGTCCAGTTTGGCATGATGAAGCATGCTGCGGCCGATCGTGACAATAGTCCTAATGGCACGCTCTGCTGTTCCGTTTGTTTGATGTGCATACGGCACCGTTGTCTGCTGTTCAATGCCTTCGTCTTCGTAGAACAGTTGAAGCGAGTTGGTTGCAAACTCGCGAGCTCCGTCGTGTCGCACGAACTTGACCTTCTTACAGAATTGCGTCTGTACCATGGTGATATATTTCCGGATGTAGTCTTCACTCTCGGACTTCACTCGTAGACAAAAGCCCTTCATGCATCCACTGGCTTCGTCGATGATCAGCAGCAAATATTTGCTGCCACCGAGCGAATCCTTTTCCATGGGCCCGCAGATGTCCAGATGAAGTAGCTCAAACGTATCGTAGCTGCGCTTGTCTCGGTTGCTTGGAAATGGTTTTGGACCATTTTCCCTTGTTGACATCCTCGACATGTAGTTGCTCCACCCGACTTAGAGAGGGACTCGCACATCCTTGATCATGTTGGTCGCGATCATCTTGCGAAGTACATCGACTGGAGCATGACCCATTCTCGCATGTAGATCGGCACAACTGGTTCCACTTGTTGTCACATTCGCTGATCGTTGAGTCGTCCGAAGCCAGTAGAGTCCATCCACGAGATCCGCTGTCGCCACCACTTGCTGTGAGTTCTTGAGAGTCACATACATCTTGGACCCGTCAAACACGACTTGAAACTTGCCATGGCTGTTAATCTGTGGCACCGAGAGCAGGTTCTTGCTCATACTTGGAACATATAGCGCGTTCTTGATTTCGATCTCACGCTCTTCACCGTTGGGCAGAACCACCTTTTCCATTATGGTTCCCACACCCTTGATGGCCACCTTGTTGCCATCAGCCACCAAGAGTTCGCCCTCATTGCGCTCTGCCAAACTTGCGAACTTGGTCTTGTCGTGGCAAATGTGGTGCGTTGCACCACTGTCGACGGCCCACATTCCAGACACGTCCATGCTCGTCGAAACTCCACATTCGAACGAGACTGCAAACGCCACTCGATCGTAGCCATTACCTTCATCATGATGTCCCCACTGGACATTGTTAGCCCCGCGTCCACGACCATTGCCGCCGCGTCGGGCTCCCCGACCTTCGTTCTTCTGCTTTGTCCAGCAACGATCCACCGTGTGTCCCACCTTGCCACAATACGTGCATTGGTAGGGCTCACGCTCGGCGCTGAATGCCTTGCTTGCATCTTCAGCCTTCACCGTAGTCGCTGTCGTTGTCCCTTTTTCTCCTTGACGCTTGGCATGCTCATTCGTCAGGACTCTCAGCACATCTTGAGTGCGAAGCTCGGTGCTGCTCATTTCCATGCTGAGCACCACATTTTCGTAGCTCTTCGGAAGACTGAGTAGCAGACAAATTGCAACGTCTTCGTCTTCCATCTTCGCACCGATGCCGCTAAGCTTGGCGGAGATGTTGAGGACCTCGTTGCAGTGATGCATGACGTTCGCGCCTTCAGCCATCTTGATACTGAAAAGTTGTCGCTTGAGGTAGATGCGTCCTGCCTTCTGCGACCCACCGTACAGCGTCTTCAGACTTGTCCACGCAACCCAGGCTTCCTCGCAGTTGTCCAGCACATGATGGTAGTCCGCGTTCATGTGCAGCAGCATCATACCAAACGCGACGTTGCTTGCCTTGACGTAGTCATCGGACGCTCGCGGGTCGGTGAAAGTCGGAGTCACTTCACGGTTGACAACGTGCCAGACGGACTTCGTCAAAAACACACCGCGCATGTACCGGCTCCACGTTGCGTAATTGTCTCCGTTGAACTTGTCAATGGAGGCGTTGCTGGTGGACGACATGGCGCTTGGGCTCATAACCTGTTGCATTGTAGATCGGAGCGAGGAAAGCGGAGCAAACGGAGCGGAGAGACCGAAGAGAGTAGAGCAGAAAACACTTGCCCAATAGTTGGAAGATTCGAAAGTGATTGATTATCGGGGCTTACTACTTACTACATGATTTATATGTGGTGTACATATAAATCATGTGAAGCGTCTCATCATCCTACGCGTCTAATCAACTATGGTAATTACCGTAAGAACTACGTCGTAAATACTAAGCTGAACAGGCGGTTCGGATTGGATCGGTCACGGTTACCAATACTGGTAGAAAACCGATGACCGTCAACAACCTCATCACGGATGTGATGGTACTTGATATCAATGTGCTTGGCACGGCCGTGGTTGACTGGGTTCTTCGTCATCTTGATACACGACTGATTGTCTTCATGGATCATGAGTTCCGGTCCTTCTTCATTGGCAGCCATCACGATCTCACAAAGCAGACGATGAATCCACTTGCCCTCTTGAATCGCCAAGCTGAGTGCGACGTATTCGGCTTCACTCGTGGACAACGAAACACTTGGCTGCTTCTTGCTGCCCCAACTGACTGGCGCACCGAGTAGCATGAACGTGTACCCCGATGTTGACTTGCGGTCGGTAAGATCACCAGCCCAATCCGCATCCGAATATCCACGGAAGTCGATCCTTGCACTTGGCTTGTAGCAAATTCCATGCGTCTTGGTGCCTTGTAGGTAGCGAAAGATACGCTTAACTGCAACCCAGTGTTCTTCTTGGGGATTTTCCATGAACCGCGACACATAGCCCACAGCAAACGCAATGTCCGGACGCGTTGCAGTGGTCAGGTGCATCAACGCACCAACAGCTTCGCGAAAAGGAGCATCGACCTTGGTAGTTGCATCACTTGAAACAAGTCGAGAGCTCATGTCGACTGGACTTGCGACTGCCTTGCAATCATCCATGCCAAAGCGCTTGAGGATATCATCGACATACCGACGCTGACACATTGTCACGCTTCCATCTGCACCATCCAAAAGCTCGATCCCAAGAACAAACGCACACTTGCCGCTGTCCGTCATTTCGAACCGCGTCTTCAGGTCGTTCTTGGTTTGTGCAATCAGCGCGAGCGAGCTTCCAGTCACCAAGACGTCGTCCACGTAGACCAGTATAAACACGCAATGGCCGTCCGAAGTCTTGATGTAGAGACATGGGTCGAAGCCTGACACTTGAAATCCAATGGAACACACACACTCGTCAAAAGTCTCGTTCCATACTCGCAAAGCTTGCTTCAGGCCGTAAAGTGCCTTCGCCAATTCCAGACAGTCGAACGTACTGTCAAGTTCGACGCCTTCAGGAATCACGCAGAACACTTGTTCCTTCATGACGCCATACAGGAAAGCTGTCACCACTGTTGTAAGTGCATGATGCACTGGATTCGACTCCAGAGATTCGACCCATGATAGGGTATGTCTAGAATGTTCTTTAGGGTTATATGCATTATCATAGGTCGTACGGCAGCTAGACGTATGGATAGTTCTCACTTGTAGATTGACAAACCACTGATGAGGCCCCCGGCGGGGGGCCGAAACGCGTCTGGTGCGCGGTAATATACAAGTCATTTACTTTACTTAACTCCTACTTCTTACAGGTTATGAGCCCAAGTGCTCGCTGCAGACACCTCACCAAGGACCAACTTGTGCGAGGGACACCCCGTCAGAGAAGGCGCTCGATGCACGAGTAAGGCGCCGAAGAATTCATCGACAGGGATCGTTGACGGTGCGCGTGCAGTCGAAAAGGGTTTGTGCAAGGGTGGTGACGCGAGATGGTCTGAATGCGCGAGTGCTATCGAAGGAAGAGTCAAGTCAAGTGGTGACAAGTGTATTTGTGGTCAAGAAGAAGTGGAAACTACATGCAAGGCGAACGACGACTACGAGATGTCAAGATGTGACATGGTGCTGGACGATGGGGGAGCTGGAATACCTGGAACGCTCGGTATCATCGAGGTTGGCTGGAGCGCAGGGGCAAGACTCAATCAAGATTCCCATGGTGCACGGATGCAGCAGTGAGGATTACAGGCGGGTCGATACCAAAGTGGTCTGCATCTCATGTCGTCGAGGGGGAGTGTTGTAAGTGCATGATGCACTGGATTCGACTCCAGAGATTCGACCCATGATAGGGTATGTCTAGAATGTTCTTTAGGGTTCTATGCATTATCATAGGTCGTACGGCAGCTAGACGTATGGATAGTTCTCACTTGTAGATTGACAAACCACTGATGAGGCCCCCGGCGGGGGGCCGAAACGCGTCTGGTGCGCGGTAATATACAAGTCATTTACTTTACTTAACTCCTACTTCTTACAACCACATCAAGCTGGTCGATGGGCCTGTTGAAAAGACAGCGGCTGTGAAGAAGACACCTCGTCAAGCTGCGTCAAGTGTTGAAGCAAGTGGAAGACCAAGCTTCGCTATACCGGTGGGTACCGGTATGTACCAGTAAGGGCGAAGTCAGGAAATGACGTCACTGGATGACGTCATTGCATGACGTCAGTGGGTGACGTCAGTGGGTGACGTCACTGGATGACGTCACTGCGAATAATAGGCTTAGAGGTAGTATTCAAAGTTGCGAACTAAGTACCTATTATAAATATATATTCACTTTGCGTTTTGCACTCGGACCAAGAAGTCTAAAGTTCATCAGGTTATGAGCCCAAGTTCGTCAGACTCTGAAACCGCCAACAATTCAAGCTTAGCTGCCATGGACGCCTCCTCCCTCCGCATCTCCAAGTTCGATGGAACTAACTTCCACGCCTGGAAGTTCAAGATGCAGATGGTGCTGGAGGAACGGGACCTATGGGAGGTCGTCAGCGGTGAGATCAAGGCGGAACAGTGCGAGACTCAGTTGGACCAAGCGACGTACAAGAGGAAGTCAAGAAAGGCGATGGCAGTGATCTGTCTAGCCATGGAAGATTCCCAGCTACCGTTGGTCCGGTCGGCAAGTGGTGCATGCGACGCATGGTCAAGGTTGGAAAACCACTTCGAGAAGAAGAGTCTTGCCAACAAGCTGTTCTTGCGCCGTCGCTTCTTCACGACAATGATGGAAGAAGGCGACGATGTGCTCGAACACATCAACAAGCTCAAGACGCTGGCGGAACAGCTAGAAGCGGTGGGGGCTCCAGTCTGCGAGGACGATCTGGTGATCACACTCCTCGGCAGCCTGAGTGACTCGTATCAATTCTTGATCACAGCTTTGGAGTCGCGCTCAGACACTCTTAGATGGGAGCTCGTGACGTCTCGACTGCTTCATGAAGAAATGAAGCGGAAGGAGCAAGGAAGTAAAGGTGATGAAGCTTCGCAAGGTCAAGCGTTCATCACAAGGGACAATCAGCGCAAAGGGCGACCAGTGAAGAAGTCCTGGCCGTGCCACAATTGCGGAAAGATTGGTCACTGGATGGCGGAGTGCCCCTCGCGCATCCAAGAAAACACGGAGAGACACCGGCCACAGCGTGCTCAAGACAGCGGCGACCGCTATCGATCACAACGTGCAAACGTCGCTCAAGAAGAAGACTCGGGCGACTACCTCTTTTCGATCGGTGAAACGACATCTGCGAAATCGAGCGACATCTGGCTGGTCGACTCCGGGGCGACGCAGCACATGACGTGCTCCAAGAAGTTCATGCGGAACTACAAGGGGTTTGACGCTGTGGATGTCCATCTCGCGGATGATGGAATCGTCCAAGCAATCGGCAGTGGGGACATTGTCATGTCGATGAAGACACCCCAAGGGATGAAGAAAGGTGTGCTCACAAACGTGTGGCACATCCCAAAGTTATCCAGAAACCTGTTCTCGGTCGGCCGCTTCACCAAGGATGTCGGCCCAGTGACGTTCACGAAGGATGGGTGCTATGGAGAAGCGAAAGGGACCAAGTGGAAAATTGGTGCCCGTGAAGGTAAAGGACTGTTCAAGCTGCAAATGACTCCAGTGGCGCCGGAACAAGCAAATGCAGCCAAGTCGTCGGGATGTCAAGGGGCACCAAGTCGTACCTCTGGCACCTTCGGCTTGGCCACATAGGTCACGATGGACTCAATTGCATCGTGACGAAGAACATTGGAATTGGCATCGACATATCTTCGGTGAAGAAGTGGGACGTGTGTGAAGGTTGTGCTCTGGGAAAACAGACTCGAGTGCGCTTCCAATCAAACACTACAGCTCGCACCTCCAAACTCCTCGAAGTGATTCACAGCGACGTATGCGGACCGATGTCGATGGCAACTTTCAGTGGAAAACGGTACTTCGTGACATTCATTGATGACAAGTCAAGATACTGTGTCGTCTATCTGCTCAAGAGCAAATCTGAAGTTGCGGCGAAGTTCATGGAATACGCTGCGATGGCCGAAACGCAAACCGGAAAGCGCGTGAAGTACCTTCAAAGCGACAATGGGGGTGAATACAAGTCCGACAAGCTGGCACGATTCTGCGCGGAACGGGGAATACAACAAAGGTTCACACCCCCATATACTCCTCAGCTAAACGGAGTAGCTGAGAGAATGAATCGCACGCTGGTCGAGTGTGCGCGTTGCATGATGGAACACGCTGGACTGGGAAAGAGCTACTGGGGTGAAGCAGTGATGACGGCGATGTTTCTTCGAAACCGCTGTCCAACACGTGCCATTCACCAAGACAAGTCTCCATATCAAGTGTGGACGATGAAGAAACCGATTCTGGCCAACCTTAAAGTGTTTGGATGCCACGCGTATGTTCAAGTGCCTCAAGACAAACGCGCGAAGTTCGACTCCAAGTCATCACTCTGTCGTTTCCTGGGATACGCCGAACACCAGAAGTCATATCGATTTGAGGAAGTGTCAACAGGAGCGATCAAGATCAGTCGCGATGCCACATTCATGGAAGACAAGTTTGATGAAGGTCCGCGCAACTACAACGATGAGTCAAGTGTCGTTGAGTTTGATGATCATGATGAGGACGAAGAAAAAGAAGAAGGTAAAACTGACGACGACATGGACTCGAGCGACGATGACAACGAAGACACCAGGTCTTCGAAGAGCAACATCAAGAGACACACGCGCACTCAATCACTTGAGAAAGCTACCGTCATTCCAAGTCCCAAGCGAAGAACATACAGAGGTCCGTCGCTTGAGCATGTGTCAGCGGCTGCAATGGATTTTGAAGCAGCCTACATCGTTGATTCAGTGGGGGAAACGCCGACTACATTCAAGTCGGCGATGGAATCAAGCGACTCCGGCAAGTGGAAAGAAGCGTGTGACTCGGAGTTCGATTCGCTTCAGAGAAACGACACGTGGGAAATCGTGCCTCTTCCGAAAGGTCGCAAGGCCATCGGGTGCCGATGGGTTTTTCGTGTAAAGGAGAATCAAGATGGCGAAGTTGAACGTTTCAAGGCAAGACTTGTGGCCAAAGGATTCTCACAGAAATTCGGAGTTGACTATGAAGAAACTTTCGCACCGGTGGCCAAGTTCACATCGATTCGTGTGGTGCTCAGTATGGCGGATAAGTACGGCCTAATGCTACATCAGATGGACGTCAAGACAGCGTTTCTTAACGGCTCCCTCAACGAAGACATCTACATGGACCAGCCGGACGGATACCTGGATGCAACACAGCCGGACTATGTGTGCAAGCTAAAGAGATCACTCTACGGCTTGAAGCAATCGCCTCGCATGTGGAACCAAACAATCGATGGGTTCATGATCAAGATGGGATTCAAGAAGTGCGAATCGGACCACTGCATCTACATCAAGCGAGACGACCAAGACATGATTCTCGTGGTGCTCTACGTCGATGATCTCATCCTGGCCAGCAGCAACAACGAACTCCTCAAGTCAACCAAGATGGCGCTGAGCAAACGCTTCGAAATGACGGATCTCGGTGAGCTCGATTACTTTCTCGGCATGGAGATCAAGAACGACCGTAAGACGGGAATGGTGACTGTACAACAAACCAAGTTCCTCAAGTCCGTGTTAACCAAGTTCGGAATGGATAACAGCAAGCCAGTGAAGACGCCTCAAGATCCCGGCCTGAAGCTAACCAAGAACATGTGTGAACAAGAATGCAAGCACGAAGACACCATGTGCAACGTGCCATATCGAAGTGCTGTCGGAGGCATCATGTATCTCATGGTCGCCACACGTCCGGATCTAGCTGCTGCAGTGGGATCATTATCCCAGTTCTCGTCCGACCCATGCCCGACTCACTGGCAAGCTTTGAAGCGTGTGCTGAGATACCTGCAAGCAACGCCCAATCATGGTCTTGAGTTTACACGTGAAGAAGGAAGCCGTATCTGCGGGTACACCGACGCAGACTGGGCCGGCGACATTGAGTCAAGACGAAGTACAAGCGGCTATGTGTTCATGATGAGCGGAGGATGCATCAGCTGGAAAAGCCAGAAACAACGGACGGTCGCGCTATCTTCAACAGAAGCAGAATACATGGCGCTTTCCGAAGCAACCAAAGAAGCAGTATGGCTCAAAGTGCTTTTGGGGGAACTTGGTGAGATGACAAGCGACGAAGCGATCAAGATGTATGAAGACAACCAAGGATCAATCGCTCTCGCCAAGAACCCGGAGTTCCATAAGAGAACAAAACACATCGACATACGCTACCATTTTGTGCGGGAGAAGGTGGAATCAGGTGAAGTCGTTTTGGAGTATTGCCCGACTCAAGATATGCTGGCAGACATGATGACCAAGCCGATCGCCGCTGTACAATTTGAAAACATTCGCGATCGACTTGGGATCCAAGGTGCCGCAGCTAACGAGTCGAGAGGGGAGTGTTGAAAAGACAGCGGCTGTGAAGAAGACACCTCGTCAAGCTGCGTCAAGTGTTGAAGCAAGTGGAAGACCAAGCTTCGCTATACCGGTGGGTACCGGTATGTACCAGTAAGGGCGAAGTCAGGAAATGACGTCACTGGATGACGTCATTGCATGACGTCAGTGGGTGACGTCAGTGGGTGACGTCACTGGATGACGTCACTGCGAATAATAGGCTTAGAGGTAGTATTCAAAGTTGCGAACTAAGTACCTATTATAAATATATATTCACTTTGCGTTTTGCACTCGGACCAAGAAGTCTAAAGTTCATCAGAGGAAGTGTCAACAGGAGCGATCAAGATCAGTCGCGATGCCACATTCATGGAAGACAAGTTTGATGAAGGTCCGCGCAACTACAACGATGAGTCAAGTGTCGTTGAGTTTGATGATCATGATGAGGACGAAGAAAAAGAAGAAGGTAAAACTGACGACGACATGGACTCGAGCGACGATGACAACGAAGACACCAGGTCTTCGAAGAGCAACATCAAGAGACACACGCGCACTCAATCACTTGAGAAAGCTACCGTCATTCCAAGTCCCAAGCGAAGAACATACAGAGGTCCGTCGCTTGAGCATGTGTCAGCGGCTGCAATGGATTTTGAAGCAGCCTACATCGTTGATTCAGTGGGGAAACGCCGACTACATTCAAGTCGGCGATGGAATCAAGCGACTCCGGCAAGTGGAAAGAAGCGTGTGACTCGGAGTTCGATTCGCTTCAGAGAAACGACACGTGGGAAATCGTGCCTCTTCCGAAAGGTCGCAAGGCCATCGGGTGCCGATGGGTTTTTCGTGTAAAGGAGAATCAAGATGGCGAAGTTGAACGTTTCAAGGCAAGACTTGTGGCCAAAGGATTCTCACAGAAATTCGGAGTTGACTATGAAGAAACTTTCGCACCGGTGGCCAAGTTCACATCGATTCGTGTGGTGCTCAGTATGGCGGCTAAGTACGGCCTAATGCTACATCAGATGGACGTCAAGACAGCGTTTCTTAACGGCTCCCTCAACGAAGACATCTACATGGACCAGCCGGACGGATACCTGGATGCAACACAGCCGGACTATGTGTGCAAGCTAAAGAGATCACTCTACGGCTTGAAGCAATCGCCTCGCATGTGGAACCAAACAATCGATGGGTTCATGATCAAGATGGGATTCAAGAAGTGCGAATCGGACCACTGCATCTACATCAAGCGAGACGACCAAGACATGATTCTCGTGGTGCTCTACGTCGATGATCTCATCCTGGCCAGCAGCAACAACGAACTCCTCAAGTCAACCAAGATGGCGCTGAGAAAACGCTTCGAAATGACGGATCTCGGTGAGCTCGATTACTTTCTGTTGTAACTTGAGCGCGAGGCGAAGAGAAAACGAAGCGGAGAGACCGGAGAGAACGAAGCAGAGAACACTTGCTCACTTGAGGGAGGATTCGAAAGTGATTGATTTATAGGTCTTAACTTCTGCCTACCCTAGACTGCATCCAATCACATGGTGCATCTAATCAACCTGATTTACACGCGTCCAATCATCCTACGCGTCTAATCATCTCTGAGGTAATTACCGATGTAAAAACTATCTCGTAAGAACTACGCGCTAGGTTCGGATTGTACCGGTAACCCTCAATACGCCCCCTCAATCCGAACACGCACGGATGCCAAGCGCCGCCGTCAAGTCCTTGTGACGCGGTCCGTGAAGTCCCTTCGTCATGATGTCCGCCAACATCAACGTCGTCTCGCAGTATTCAAGCTTCACTTCGCCGCGCTTGACTTCATCACGGATGTGATGGTACTTGATGTCGATGTGTTTAGCGCGGCCGTGGTTGACCGGATTCTTCGTCATCTTGATGCACGACTGGTTGTCTTCACGGATGACGAGCTCGGGTCCTTCTTCGTTTGCAGCCGCCATGATCTCGCACAGCAAGCGATTGATCCACTTGCCTTCTTGGATCGCCAGGCTGAGCGCGATGTACTCCGCTTCGCTTGTAGACAGTGACACACTTGGCTGTTTCTTGCTGCCCCAACTCACCGGAGCACCCAATAGCATGAAGACGTAGCCGGACGTCGATTTGCGATCAGCAAGGTCACCGGCCCAGTCTGCATCTGAATAGCCACGAAAGTCGATCTTCGCACTTGGCTTGTAGCAGATTCCATGCATCTTGGTGCCTTGTAGGTAGCGGAAGATGCGCTTGACTGCAACCCAGTGTTCTTCTTGGGGTTTCTCCATGAACCGTGACACAAAGCTTACAGCATAGGCGATGTCCGGTCGCGTTGCAGTCGTCAGATGCATCAAAGCACCCACTGCTTCACGGAATGGGACATTCACCTTGCTTGCAGAGTTGCTTGGAACCAGTCGAGAGCTGACGTCCACCGGACTTGCCACAGCCTTGCACTCATCCATTCCAAAGCGCTTGAGGACATCGTCGACATAACGGCGCTGACACATAGTCACGCTGCCATCTTCACCGTCCAATAACTCGATCCCCAAGAACAAAGGCACACTTGCCGCTGTCCGTCATCTCGAAGCGTGTCTTGAGGTCGTTCTTGGTGCGCGCAATCATCTCGAGCGAGCTTCCAGTCACCAAGACATCGTCCACGTAGACCAGCACAAAAACACAATGGCCTTCCGAAGTCATGATGTAGAGACATGGATCGAATCCCGACGCTTGAAAACCAATCGAGCGTATGAATTCGTCGAAGGTCTCGTTCCAAACACGCGAGGCTTGCTTGAGACCGTAGATCGCCTTGATCAGCTCGAGACAGTCGAAATCACCTTCCATCTTGACGCCTTCCGGAACAGCGCAGAACACCTTCTCCTTCATCACTCCATACAGGAACGCAGTCACCACATCGAGCTGGTCGAGGGGGCCATCCAAAGTGCTTGGTAATGGCGATGACCATTCGCAGCGTCACATACTTGACCACGGGCGAGAACGTCTCCGTGTAGTCAATGCCATACTTTTGGCGAAAACCCTTGGCCACAAGTCGTGCCTTGTATTTCTCGATCGACCCATCCGCCTTGCGCTTGATCTTGAAGACCCACTTTGTGCCAATGGCGCTTTGTCCGTTGGGTAACTTGGCCGCACGAAAGACACCGCGAAGCTTCATCGAATCGAGCTCCGCATCAATTGCCTTGCGCCAGTGTACTTGGTCCGGGCCAGATACTGCTTCTTCAAATGTCGACGGCTCCGAAAAATCGACCGCTGCTTCGACGGCGTTTGCACTCGCATGCCAAAACGCGGAGGAAGTCGGTGTGTCATGTTGTTCCTCCGACTTCCTTTCTTCATCTTCGTTGGCTCGACGTGAAGAGAGGTCATCCGGCGCACTTGACTCTTCCAATCCGGGTCGTTGGCGCACTGCTCGGGGCATGCTTGCGTCGTCATTGTCGTGACTGGGTTGGGCCTTGCGCTTTCCTGTTTGTTTGAAGTGTCTCGGACGCGGTTCTTCATCATCAAGATCGATCGATTCGAAGTCCAGGCCATCAACATCGTCATCGGAAATCAGCATCGACATTCCAAAGGCCGACTCATCGAAGTTGACATCGCGACTTATCATCACCTGCCCCGCTTCGATGTCGTAAACTCGATACGCCTTGGACACTTCTTCGTAGCCCAAAAACAATCCAGCCCGGGCCTTGGGATCCCACTTGAGTCGTTTCTCCTTCGGGGTCAAGATGTATGCTTGGCACCCAAAAACGCGCATGTGCTTGACACTTGGCTTAGAATTGTAGACAATCTCGAACGGTGTCTTGTGTGGAATCTTGGGTGACGGCAAACGGTTCTTCACATAGACGGCCGTCATTGCCGCTTCACCCCAGAAACACTTGTTCAGCTTGGCATAATGTAGCATGCTACGACCGATGGTGACGATAGTTCGAATCGCGCGTTCAGCAGTTCCATTGGCTTGATGTGCGTATGGCACCGTGGTTTGTTGCTCGATGCCTTCGACTTCGTAGAAATCTTGAAGCGAGTTCGTCGCAAATTCGCGGGCTCCATCGTGTCGCACAAATTTGACCTTCTTGTTGAACTGCGTCTGTATCATCGTGATGTACTTCTTGATGCACTCTTCGCTCTCTGACTTGGAATGCAGACAAAAACCCTTCATGCATCCGCTGGCTTCATCCACGATCAGCAGCAGATACTTGCTGCCACCCAGAGATTTTTCTTCCATGGGTCCGCAGATGTCGAAGTGGAGCATCTCGAAGGTGTTGTAGGTGCGCTTGTCACGGTTGCTCGGGAACGGTTTCTGGACCATCTTCCCTTCTTGGCATCCTCGACACACACTTGATCCATTCGGCTTGGAAGGGATGTGAGCGTCCTTGATCATGTGGCTTGTCACCATCCTGCGAAGCACGTCTACTGGAGCATGGCCCATTCGTGCATGTAGATCAACAGCGTTGCTGAGTGATGTCGCATTGGCCGATCGCTGCGTCGTGCGAAGCCAGTAGAGTCCGTCTACAAGATCCGCAGCTGCCACCACTTGATTGGAATCCTTGCGAGCGACGTACATCGTATCCCCGTCAAACACCACTTGGAAGTTGCCGTGCTTGTTAATCTGCGGCACCGAGAGCAGATTTTTGCTCATGCTGGGCACATAGAGCGCGTTCTTGATCTCGATCTCGCGCTCTTCCCCGTTTGGCAGAATCACCTTTTCCACGATGGTCCCCACACCTTTGATGGCCGCCTTGTTGCCATCAGCCACCAGGATCTCGCCATCATTGCCTTCGACCAAGCTTGCAAACTTGAACTTGTCGTGGCAGATGTGATGTGTTGCCCCGCTGTCAACGGCCCACATTCCTGGTCCATTCTTGTTCGTCGAAACTCCGCATTCGAACGAAACTGCAAACGCCACTCGATCGTAGCTGTTGCCTTCATCATAATGTCGCCACTGGACATTGTTTGCCCCGCGTCCGCGACCATTGCCGCCGCGTTGGGCTCCTCGACTTTCATCCTTTTGCTTCGTCCAGCAACGCTCTGCCGTGTGCCCCACCTTGCCGCAGTATGTGCATTGGTAGGGCTTGCGCTCGGTACTGAATGCCTTTGTCGCATCTTCAGTCTTCACCGTTGTCGTTGCCGTTGTCATCTTCTCGCCTTGTCGCTTGATGTGCTCGTTAGTCAGCACCTTGACCACATCTTGCGTGCGCAGCTCTGCATTGCTCATCTTCAAGTTCAGAACCACGTTCTCGAAACTCTTCGGGAGACTGAGCAGCAAGCAGATCGCAATGTCTTCGTCTTCCATCTTGGCACCGATGCTGCTGAGCTTGGCGCCGATGTTCAAGACTTCGTTGCAATGGTGCAAGACGTTGGCACCTTCCGCCATCTTGATGCTGAACAGCTGGCGCTTGAGGTAGATGCGTCCCGCCTTCTGCGACCCACCATAGAGCATCTTCAACCGCGACCACGCTGTCCATGCTTCTTCACAGTTGTCGACCACATGGTGGTAGTCGGCGTCCATGTGGAGCAACATCAACCCGAACGCGATGTTGCTCGCCTTGACGTACTCGTCGGAAGCTCGCGTGTCGGTGAAGGTTGGAGACGTTTCGCGGTTCACGACGTACCAGACTGACTTCGTCAGAAACACGCCGCGCATGTAGCGACACCAGGTTGAGTAGTTGTCCCCATCGAACTTATCGATGGAGACACTGGCCGAGGTGTTGTTGGACGACATGGCGCTTGGGCTCATAACCTGTTGTAACTTGAGCGCGAGGCGAAGAGAAAACGAAGCGGAGAGACCGGAGAGAACGAAGCAGAGAACACTTGCTCACTTGAGGGAGGATTCGAAAGTGATTGATTTATAGGTCTTAACTTCTGCCTACCCTAGACTGCATCCAATCACATGGTGCATCTAATCAACCTGATTTACACGCGTCCAATCATCCTACGCGTCTAATCATCTCTGAGGTAATTACCGATGTAAAAACTATCTCGTAAGAACTACGCGCTAGGTTCGGATTGTACCGGTAACCCTCAATACTTTCTCGGCATGGAGATCAAGAACGACCGTAAGACGGGAATGGTGACTGTACAACAAACCAAGTTTCTCAAGTCCGTGTTAACAAAGTTCGGAATGGATAACAGCAAGCCAGTGAAGACGCCTCAAGATCCCGGCCTGAAGCTAACCAAGAACATGTGTGACCAAGAATGCAAGCACGAAGACACCATGTGCAACGTGCCATATCGAAGTGCTGTCGGAGGCATCATGTATCTCATGGTCGCCACACGTCCGGATCTAGCTGCTGCAGTGGGATCATTATCCCAGTTCTCGTCCGACCCATGCCCGACTCACTGGCAAGCTTTGAAGCGTGTGCTGAGATACCTGCAAGCAACGCCCAATCATGGTCTTGAGTTTACACGTGAAGAAGGAAGCCGTATCTGCGGGTACACCGACGCAGACTGGGCCGGCGACATTGAGTCAAGACGAAGTACAAGCGGCTATGTGTTCATGATGAGCGGAGGATGCATCAGCTGGAAAAGACAGAAACAACGGACGGTCGCGCTGTTGAAAAGACAGCGGCTGTGAAGAAGACACCTCGTCAAGCTGCGTCAAGTGTTGAAGCAAGTGGAAGACCAAGCTTCGCTATACCGGTGGGTACCGGTATGTACCAGTAAGGGCGAAGTCAGGAAATGACGTCACTGGATGACGTCATTGCATGACGTCAGTGGGTGACGTCAGTGGGTGACGTCACTGGATGACGTCACTGCGAATAATAGGCTTAGAGGTAGTATTCAAAGTTGCGAACTAAGTACCTATTATAAATATATATTCACTTTGCGTTTTGCACTCGGACCAAGAAGTCTAAAGTTCATCAGGTTATGAGCCCAAGTTCGTCAGACTCTGAAACCGCCAACAATTCAAGCTTAGCTGCCATGGACGCCTCCTCCCTCCGCATCTCCAAGTTCGATGGAACTAACTTCCACGCCTGGAAGTTCAAGATGCAGATGGTGCTGGAGGAACGGGACCTATGGGAGGTCGTCAGCGGTGAGATCAAGGCGGAACAGTGCGAGACTCAGTTGGACCAAGCGACGTACAAGAGGAAGTCAAGAAAGGCGATGGCAGTGATCTGTCTAGCCATGGAAGATTCCCAGCTACCGTTGGTCCGGTCGGCAAGTGGTGCATGCGACGCATGGTCAAGGTTGGAAGACCACTTCGAGAAGAAGAGTCTTGCCAACAAGCTGTTCTTGCGCCGTCGCTTCTTCACGACAATGATGGAAGAAGGCGACGATGTGCTCGAACACATCAACAAGCTCAAGACGCTGGCGGAACAGCTAGAAGCGGTGGGGGCTCCAGTCTGCGAGGACGATCTGGTGATCACACTCCTCGGCAGCCTGAGTGACTCGTATCAATTCTTGATCACAGCTTTGGAGTCGCGCTCAGACACTCTTAGCTGGGAGCTCGTGACGTCTCGACTGCTTCATGAAGAAATGAAGCGGAAGGAGCAAGGAAGTAAAGGTGATGAAGCTTCGCAAGGTCAAGCGTTCATCACAAGGGACAATCAGCGCAAAGGGCGACCAGTGAAGAAGTCCTGGCCGTGCCACAATTGCGGAAAGATTGGTCACTGGATGGCGGAGTGCCCCTCGCGCATCCAAGAAAACACGGAGAGACACCGGCCACAGCGTGCTCAAGACAGCGGCGACCGCTATCGATCACAACGTGCAAACGTCGCTCAAGAAGAAGACTCGGGCGACTACCTCTTTTCGATCGGTGAAACGACATCTGCGAAATCGAGCGACATCTGGCTGGTCGACTCCGGGGCGACGCAGCACATGACGTGCTCCAAGTAGTTCATGCGGAACTACAAGGGGTTTGACGCTGTGGATGTCCATCTCGTGGATGACGGAATCGTCCAAGCAATCGGCAGTGGGGACATTGTCATGTCGATGAAGACACCCCAAGGGATGAAGAAAGGTGTGCTCACAAACGTGTGGCACATCCCAAAGTTATCCAGAAACCTGTTCTCGGTCGGCCGCTTCACCAAGGATGTCGGCCCAGTGACGTTCACGAAGGATGGGTGCTATGGAGAAGCGAAAGGGACCAAGTGGAAAATTGGTGCCCGTGAAGGTAAAGGACTGTTCAAGCTGCAAATGACTCCAGTGGCGCCGGAACAAGCAAATGCAGCCAAGTCGTCGGGATGTCAAGGGGGCACCAAGTCGTACCTCTGGCACCTTCGGCTTGGCCACATAGGTCACGATGGACTCAATTGCATCGTGACGAAGAACATTGGAATTGGCATCGACATATCTTCGGTGAAGAAGTGGGACGTGTGTGAAGGTTGTGCTCTGGGAAAACAGACTCGAGTGCGCTTCCAATCAAACACTACAGCTCGCACCTCCAAACTCCTCGAAGTGATTCACAGCGACGTATGCGGACCGATGTCGATGGCAACTTTCAGTGGAAAACGGTACTTCGTGACATTCATTGATGACAAGTCAAGATACTGTGTCGTCTATCTGCTCAAGAGCAAATCTGAAGTTGCGGCGAAGTTCATGGAATACGCTGCGATGGCCGAAACGCAAACCGGAAAGCGCGTGAAGTACCTTCAAAGCGACAATGGGGGTGAATACAAGTCCGACAAGCTGGCACGATTCTGCGCGGAACGGGGAATACAACAAAGGTTCACACCCCCATATAATCCTCAGCTAAACGGAGTAGCTGAGAGAATGAATCGCACGCTGGTCGAGTGTGCGCGTTGCATGATGGAACACGCTGGACTGGGGAAAGAGCTACTGGGGTGAAGCAGTGATGACGGCGATGTTTCTTCGAAACCGCTGTCCAACACGTGCCATTCACCAAGACAAGTCTCCATATCAAGTGTGGACGATGAAGAAACCGATTCTGGCCAACCTTAAAGTGTTTGGATGCCACGCGTATGTTCAAGTGCCTCAAGACAAACGCGCGAAGTTCGACTCCAAGTCATCACTCTGTCGTTTCCTGGGATACGCCGAACACCAGAAGTCATATCGATTTGAGGAAGTGTCAACAGGAGCGATCAAGATCAGTCGCGATGCCACATTCATGGAAGACAAGTTTGATGAAGGTCCGCGCAACTACAACGATGAGTCAAGTGTCGTTGAGTTTGATGATCATGATGAGGACGAAGAAAAAGAAGAAGGTAAAACTGACGACGACATGGACTCGAGCGACGATGACAACGAAGACACCAGGTCTTCGAAGAGCAACATCAAGAGACACACGCGCACTCAATCACTTGAGAAAGCTACCGTCATTCCAAGTCCCAAGCGAAGAACATACAGAGGTCCGTCGCTTGAGCATGTGTCAGCGGCTGCAATGGATTTTGAAGCAGCCTACATCGTTGATTCAGTGGGGAAACGCCGACTACATTCAAGTCGGCGATGGAATCAAGCGACTCCGGCAAGTGGAAAGAAGCGTGTGACTCGGAGTTCGATTCGCTTCAGAGAAACGACACGTGGGAAATCGTGCCTCTTCCGAAAGGTCGCAAGGCCATTGGGTGCCGATGGGTTTTTCGTGTAAAGGAGAATCAAGATGGCGAAGTTGAACGTTTCAAGGCAAGACTTGTGGCCAAAGGATTCTCACAGGAATTCGGAGTTGACTATGAAGAAACTTTCGCACCGGTGGCCAAGTTCACATCGATTCGTGTGGTGCTCAGTATGGCGGCTAAGTACGGCCTAATGCTACATCAGATGGACGTCAAGACAGCGTTTCTTAACGGCTCCCTCAACGAAGACATCTACATGGACCAGCCGGACGGATACCTGGATGCAACACAGCCGGACTATGTGTGCAAGCTAAAGAGATCACTCTACGGCTTGAAGCAATCGCCTCGCATGTGGAACCAAACAATCGATGGGTTCATGATCAAGATGGGATTCAAGAAGTGCGAATCGGACCACTGCATCTACATCAAGCGAGACGACCAAGACATGATTCTCGTGGTGCTCTACGTCGATGATCTCATCCTGGCCAGCAGCAACAACGAACTCCTCAAGTCAACCAAGATGGCGCTGAGCAAACGCTTCGAAATGACGGATCTCGGTGAGCTCGATTACTTTCTCGGCATGGAGATCAAGAACGACCGTAAGACGGGAATGGTGACTGTACAACAAACCAAGTTCCTCAAGTCCGTGTTAACCAAGTTCGGAATGGATAACAGCAAGCCAGTGAAGACGCCTCAAGATCCCGGCCTGAAGCTAACCAAGAACATGTGTGAACAAGAATGCAAGCACGAAGACACCATGTGCAACGTGCCATATCGAAGTGCTGTCGGAGGCATCATGTATCTCATGGTCGCCACACGTCCGGATCTAGCTGCTGCAGTGGGATCATTATCCCAGTTCTCGTCCGACCCATGCCCTGTTGAAAAGACAGCGGCTGTGAAGAATGATGAACTTTAGACTTCTTGGTCCGAGTGCAAAACGCAAAGTGAATATATATTTATAATAGGTACTTAGTTCGCAACTTTGAATACTACCTCTAAGCCTATTATTTGCAGTGACGTCATCCAGTGACGTCACCCACTGACGTCACCCACTGACGTCATGCAATGACGTCATCCAGTGACGTCATTTCCTGACTTCGCCCTTACTGGTACCCACCGGTATAGCGAAGCTTGGTCTTCCACTTGCTTCAACACTTGACGCAGCTTGACGAGGTGTCTTCTTCACAGCCGCTGTCTTTTCAACACTCCCTCTCGACTCGTTAGCTGCGGCACCTTGGATCCCAAGTCGATCGCGAATGTTTTCAAATTGTACAGCGGCGATCGGCTTGGTCATCATGTCTGCCAGCATATCTTGAGTCGGGCAATACTCCAAAACGACTTCACCTGATTCCACCTTCTCATGCACAAAATGGTAGCGTATGTCGATGTGTTTTGTTCTCTTATGGAACTCCGGGTTCTTGGCGAGAGCGATTGATCCTTGGTTGTCTTCATACATCTTGATCGCTTCGTCGCTTGTCATCTCACCAAGTTCCCCCAAAAGCACCTTGAGCCATACTGCTTCTTTGGTTGCTTCGGAAAGCGCCATGTATTCTGCTTCTGTTGAAGATAGCGCGACCGTCCGTTGTTTCTGGCTTTTCCAGCTGATGCATCCTCCGCTCATCATGAACACATAGCCGCTTGTACTTCGTCTTGACTCAATGTCGTCGGCCCAGTCTGCGTCGGTGTACCCGCAGATACGGCTTCCTTCTTCACGTGTAAACTCAAGACCATGATTGGGCGTTGCTTGCAGGTATCTCAGCACACGCTTCAAAGCTTGCCAGTGAGTCGGGCATGGGTCGGACGAGAACTGGGATAATGATCCCACTGCAGCAGCTAGATCCGGACGTGTGGCGACCATGAGATACATGATGCCTCCGACAGCACTTCGATATGGCACGTTGCACATGGTGTCTTCGTGCTTGCATTCTTGTTCACACATGTTCTTGGTTAGCTTCAGGCCGGGATCTTGAGGCGTCTTCACTGGCTTGCTGTTATCCATTCCGAACTTGGTTAACACGGACTTGAGAAACTTGGTTTGTTGTACAGTCACCATTCCCGTCTTACGGTCGTTCTTGATCTCCATGCCGAGAAAGTAATCGAGCTCACCGAGATCCGTCATTTCGAAGCGTTTGCTCAGCGCCATCTTGGTTGACTTGAGGAGTTCGTTGTTGCTGCTGGCCAGGATGAGATCATCGACGTAGAGCACCACGAGAATCATGTCTTGGTCGTCTCGCTTGATGTAGATGCAGTGGTCCGATTCGCACTTCTTGAATCCCATCTTGATCATGAACCCATCGATTGTTTGGTTCCACATGCGAGGCGATTGCTTCAAGCCGTAGAGTGATCTCTTTAGCTTGCACACATAGTCCGGCTGTGTTGCATCCAGGTATCCGTCCGGCTGGTCCATGTAGATGTCTTCGTTGAGGGAGCCGTTAAGAAACGCTGTCTTGACGTCCATCTGATGTAGCATTAGGCCGTACTTAGCCGCCATACTGAGCACCACACGAATCGATGTGAACTTGGCCACCGGTGCGAAAGTTTCTTCATAGTCAACTCCGAATTCCTGTGAGAATCCTTTGGCCACAAGTCTTGCCTTGAAACGTTCAACTTCGCCATCTTGATTCTCCTTTACACGAAAAACCCATCGGCACCCAATGGCCTTGCGACCTTTCGGAAGAGGCACGATTTCCCACGTGTCGTTTCTCTGAAGCGAATCGAACTCCGAGTCACACGCTTCTTTCCACTTGCCGGAGTCGCTTGATTCCATCGCCGACTTGAATGTAGTCGGCGTTTCCCCCACTGAATCAACGATGTAGGCTGCTTCAAAATCCATTGCAGCCGCTGACACATGCTCAAGCGACGGACCTCTGTATGTTCTTCGCTTGGGACTTGGAATGACGGTAGCTTTCTCAAGTGATTGAGTGCGCGTGTGTCTCTTGATGTTGCTCTTCGAAGACCTGGTGTCTTCGTTGTCATCGTCGCTCGAGTCCATGTCGTCGTCAGTTTTACCTTCTTCTTTTTCTTCGTCCTCATCATGATCATCAAACTCAACGACACTTGACTCATCGTTGTAGTTGCGCGGACCTTCATCAAACTTGTCTTCCATGAATGTGGCATCGCGACTGATCTTGATCGCTCCTGTTGACACTTCCTCAAATCGATATGACTTCTGGTGTTCGGCGTATCCCAGGAAACGACAGAGTGATGACTTGGAGTCGAACTTCGCGCGTTTGTCTTGAGGCACTTGAACATACGCGTGGCATCCAAACACTTTAAGGTTGGCCAGAATCGGTTTCTTCATCGTCCACACTTGATATGGAGACTTGTCTTGGTGAATGGCACGTGTTGGACAGCGGTTTCGAAGAAACATCGCCGTCATCACTGCTTCACCCCAGTAGCTCTTTCCCAGTCCAGCGTGTTCCATCATGCAACGCGCACACTCGACCAGCGTGCGATTCATTCTCTCAGCTACTCCGTTTAGCTGAGGAGTATATGGGGGTGTGAACCTTTGTTGTATTCCCCGTTCCGCGCAGAATCGTGCCAGCTTGTCGGACTTGTATTCACCCCCATTGTCGCTTTGAAGGTACTTCACGCGCTTTCCGGTTTGCGTTTCGGCCATCGCAGCGTATTCCATGAACTTCGCCGCAACTTCAGATTTGCTCTTGAGCAGATAGACGACACAGTATCTTGACTTGTCATCAATGAATGTCACGAAGTACCGTTTTCCACTGAAAGTTGCCATCGACATCGGTCCGCATACGTCGCTGTGAATCACTTCGAGGAGTTTGGAGGTGCGAGCTGTAGTGTTTGATTGGAAGCGCACTCGAGTCTGTTTTCCCAGAGCACAACCTTCACACACGTCCCACTTCTTCACCGAAGATATGTCGATGCCAATTCAATGTTCTTCGTCACGATGCAATTGAGTCCATCGTGACCTATGTGGCCAAGCCGAAGGTGCCAGAGGTACGACTTGGTGCCCCCTTGACATCCCGACGACTTGGCTGCATTTGCTTGTTCCAGCGCCACTGGAGTCATTTGCAGCTTGAACAGTCCTTTACCTTCACGGGCACCAATTTTCCACTTGGTCCCTTTCGCTTCTCCATAGCACCCATCCTTCGTGAACGTCACTGGGCCGACATCCTTGGTGAAGCGGCCGACCGAGAACAGGTTTCTGGATAACTTTGGGATGTGCCACACGTTTGTGAGCACACCTTTCTTCATCCCTTGGGGTGTCTTCATCGACATGACAATGTCCCCACTGCCGATTGCTTGGACGATTCCATCATCCGCGAGATGGACATCCACAGCGTCAAACCCCTTGTAGTTCCGCATGAACTTCTTGGAGCACGTCATGTGCTGCGTCGCCCCGGAGTCGACCAGCCAGATGTCGCTCGATTTCGCAGATGTCGTTTCACCGATCGAAAAGAGGTAGTCGCCCGAGTCTTCTTCTTGAGCGACGTTTGCACGTTGTGATCGATAGCGGTCGCCGCTGTCTTGAGCACGCTGTGGCCGGTGTCTCTCCGTGTTTTCTTGGATGCGCGAGGGACACTCCGCCATCCAGTGACCAATCTTTCCGCAATTGTGGCACGGCCAGGACTTCTTCACTGGTCGCCCTTTGCGCTGATTGTCCCTTGTGATGAACGCTTGACCTTGCGAAGCTTCATCACCTTTACTTCCTTGCTCCTTCCGCTTCATTTCTTCATGAAGCAGTCGAGACGTCACGAGCTCCCAGCTAAGAGTGTCTGAGCGCGACTCCAAAGCTGTGATCAAGAATTGATACGAGTCACTCAGGCTGCCGAGGAGTGTGATCACCAGATCGTCCTCGCAGACTGGAGCCCCCCACCGCTTCTAGCTGTTCCGCCAGCGTCTTGAGCTTGTTGATGTGTTCGAGCACATCGTCGCCTTCTTCCATCATTGTCGTGAAGAAGCGACGGCGCAAGAACAGCTTGTTGGCAAGACTCTTCTTCTCGAAGTGGTCTTCCAACCTTGACCATGCGTCGCATGCACCACTTGCCGACCGGACCAACGGTAGCTGGGAATCTTCCATGGCTAGACAGATCACTGCCATCGCCTTTCTTGACTTCCTCTTGTACGTCGCTTGGTCCAACTGAGTCTCGCACTGTTCCGCCTTGATCTCACCGCTGACGACCTCCCATAGGTCCCGTTCCTCCAGCACCATCTGCATCTTGAACTTCCAGGCGTGGAAGTTAGTTCCATCGAACTTGGAGATGCGGAGGGAGGAGGCGTCCATGGCAGCTAAGCTTGAATTGTTGGCGGTTTCAGAGTCTGACGAACTTGGGCTCATAACCTGATGAACTTTAGACTTCTTGGTCCGAGTGCAAAACGCAAAGTGAATATATATTTATAATAGGTACTTAGTTCGCAACTTTGAATACTACCTCTAAGCCTATTATTTGCAGTGACGTCATCCAGTGACGTCACCCACTGACGTCACCCACTGACGTCATGCAATGACGTCATCCAGTGACGTCATTTCCTGACTTCGCCCTTACTGGTACCCACCGGTATAGCGAAGCTTGGTCTTCCACTTGCTTCAACACTTGACGCAGCTTGACGAGGTGTCTTCTTCACAGCCGCTGTCTTTTCAACAAAGAAGACACCTCGTCAAGCTGCGTCAAGTGTTGAAGCAAGTGGAAGACCAAGCTTCGCTATACCGGTGGGTACCGGTATGTACCAGTAAGGGCGAAGTCAGGAAATGACGTCACTGGATGACGTCATTGCATGACGTCAGTGGGTGACGTCAGTGGGTGACGTCACTGGATGACGTCACTGCGAATAATAGGCTTAGAGGTAGTATTCAAAGTTGCGAACTAAGTACCTATTATAAATATATATTCACTTTGCGTTTTGCACTCGGACCAAGAAGTCTAAAGTTCATCAGGTTATGAGCCCAAGTTCGTCAGACTCTGAAACCGCCAACAATTCAAGCTTAGCTGCCATGGACGCCTCCTCCCTCC